GGTCTTTGGCGCTGTATAAATGGACTAGCAGGTGAACTTTAGTGGCCGTAAGGCAATATTGCTCTTCTCTTTCACACCTGCCTTTTTTTTTTTTTTTACATGTTGAGGTTTGATGGGCATATCATTTTTTTTACTAATTTGCATACTGAACAAAGGTGTTTAAGGACATTTAGTTTGGATGAAGGTTTCATCTATCAATTCAGAATATCTTCTAGTATGTCATATAGTAGTATTAAAAGGGATTCATATTATATCTTGCTCTATGTGGTATTAAAAGTAATTCAAGAGTTTTCTAGTTCCTTTTTCACCGTTAGAGGATTATGCTCCACTCATGAGATTGGCTATACAATATGTGCCACTTGTGAGATACCAGCTCCACCAGATACCAGCTGTGTCTGAACTTCAGGATACACACCTCACTATTCAGTATCTATGTCACCAGTGAGATCTGCCACCACTAGACAAAGCTCACTCCCCAGTATCTGTCACCAGTGATTTCTACCGCCACTAAACATGGCTCACTTCCCAGTATCTGTCGCCATTACACATGGCTCAGCAACAAGTATCCATTTAACCAGTGACATTCGTGGCTGCAGTATAGGTTCATTAACCCCTCAGGGTCAGGTCTCCAGAAATATGTGCATTAGCGCCTTCATGACCAGTCTCATCTGTGTGTATGAGCCCTCTAATAATAATAATTGTTTAACATGTCTTGAGGGACACAGGATTCGGTTCTCATACAATTGGGTTATAATGCCGCCTACAGGAGTATTTGGATACTGGCAAACAAAAAGCTGTTGGCCAGGCAAGTTTTTAACCTCCAACTCCCAGCAGGCTTCAATTTTTTTTTCGTGTCCTAGAAAAAAAGATTACCTTTTTTTTTCTTCTTCAAGATCTCTTTCATTAAAAACATCATCTACATGCTGCTGTGCTAGACTGTCTATGCAGCTGTCCGGTTCGCCTTGGAGGCTGTATCCTTACCCCACTGAGTAAACATTGTGGGGCCTGCCTGGAATGTGACCTTGGGCATTCTGCTCTGTGTTTTTCAGACTTTCGGATACTTTTTTAGCTACAGAACTCTTTCCAGCTTCTTCCCTTCATTGCTCCCATCGGCAAGAGACGTATGGTTTACAGATTGGTTAGTCCTTGCTGCAGACTACAGTGACCTTGTCACCTCTGACCATTAACCTCTTCAGCTTAAGCAGTTGGTTGTGAGTAAACTAAGGTTTTATCTGGTGTGTTTTTCGAATGCTGCTTTTGTACAAAATTGAAGCATGCTGGGAGGGGTTATACCTGGCTGGCCAACACGATTTTTTTTTTTTGTGCAAGTGTCCACATCTTCCTGTAGTAAGTATAATCCAGTCGTAGCAGAATAACTGAATCATGTGTCCCTTAATGAACTTCAAAAGATGGATTTTACAGTACAAAAATCCTGTTATTTTAGACTAGCAATGTGAGAAAAGTGTCTGTACAACACATTTTGGCTTTTTTATGTCAGACTGCACATGTGTACAGTACAAGCGAACGTGCACATCCCTACATAAAACAGCTGGAGAAGTGGTACTACTCTGATAGCCATGTCTTTCTGGAACCAACAGTCACACTGCCATTTCATCAGAGTAATGTTTTGCACCACCCACTCTACTGATAATTGCGCCTCTTCTGCCTCAGACTAACAGCGACATTCTTAACCCCACTAACTGCATCATGATAAACACACATATATTTATCTGTCTATTTTAGGGCTTGTTTCCACCAAAACCAGACATTACATTTTTTTTTTTTTTTTTTTATTTTTTCCTGGTCTGGAACGGATCAAACACACTGGCGCACACACAAAAAAATATATATATATTTTTTTTCTATTGTCACTTTTGATAACCTAATTAACAGTGGACACTTCCTTGTGGAAAAGGGGGTGGTTTTCAGCTGTACATTGCTGACCTTGACATTGTCCTTTGTGTTCTATCCAACATGGTGGAAAACTTATTGACACTGACCGTTTTGTCACCTAATGTGCAGGAGTGTCCTTAGCTTTATGATCCTACGAACCCACAATACAAGAATAACAGACACAGTGATAAGACAATGCCCGCATTCCATGGCTCCATGATTGCTCAACTCCTGTGACGGTCACAAATACGTGAAAGACTGAGCGAAAGCAGGAAATGACCTCGGAGACATAATCTGCATACTTTTAAAAAAAAACGTATCAAAAAAAGCATCAAGATCTGGTCTGGAGATGGTGGAAACAAGCCCTTAGGCAGTCTATATACGGAAAGAAGTAGGATGATTTGCATTAACCACTTGCTGACTAAGCAATTTCTTACTATTTGCACATACATGATAAAATCTGAATTATTGGCTAGAAAACAGCTAACCCTCCCCCCCAAACAATTATATATTTTCTGAAAGCAGAGGCCCTTTAGAATAAAAAAAAATTCTAGTTGCAATTTTTTATGCCGCACTAGTATTTTTAGGATAAAATGCACAAAAATAAAATTTAGTGCACGGAAATGGAATATAATACCCAATTGTTTGATAAAATATAAAAGACGGGGTCACGTATGGTAAATTGATACCAAGCATGTCAAGCCTTAAAATTGCAAAAAAAACTTCAATACCCACAATTTCCCATGGGTGATGCTTTCAAAAGCTTTTACTGCTCATAAGTTTAGCATTAACACTGATTGATAGCCCTAGAATTATTGCTCTCACTCTGACCAACAAGACCCCTATGTAATGGCAAATATGTGACAGGCCCTCTTTATGGAGACATCGGGGTTCTTTCAGACCCATAATGTCACATAGGGATCCCAAAGAATGTGATGAAGCAGCAATCTGCTTCACCAGCTTCTCCTAGCTACAGGAGCCAGAGAATGTAAACCGTGACACCGGACGTGATGTAATGCACATCACTTCCGGGTCCAGTGATTGGAGGGGAGATTGGTGGCTGGAAGCTTGCTGATCGATGCAGGGAGACCTGCCATGCGGGTCCCAGGCCCACCTGGGGGACAGCAGAGCCTGGGGAGGGCACACACCTTTGCTTGGTACAAACGATCGCTTGTACCTGAGCAGCCCTCGCTGGCTGTTTACAACAGTATTAAGAATGCAGCTGTGTTCTTGGTATAACCGCTTCAGGGGCCGGATGTTTATATACGGCCGCCTGCCTGAAGTGGTTAAAGTCCAGTTGTAGTCTGTAACACTACAGTTGGGCCATATGGGGCTTCGAAATATAAAAAAAAAAGTGTGTTCTATCCACGGTTGTAAACGTTTTCCCTCGCTTATTCTACAGTGGCACCTATCACTGGGACAGGATATGAGGATAAAACTCCTCCCAATGGATGGGTACACAGGCAGCAATAAAAATCAGACTCAGGCTACATTTACACAAGGTGCGATTTTAGATGTGTTTTATATACGTTTTAAAATGTTTTTCTAAATCACATCTAATAATTTCCAATGGATCTGTTCACGCTTTGCATTTGGATGCTTTTATCTGAAGTCAATTTTTTGCTGCATTTAGAAAAAATAGAAGTAAGGTGCGTTCAGGAATTGATTTGAACTTCAAAACGCATGTAAACACAATTTGATAGGATTTGGAACCAGATGCATCTAAAAGCATATGCATGTAAACACATCATTTAAGGCATCTAGAAGCATAAATACAGCATCTAGCCTGACATCATTTTCTATGCATGTAGAGCACAAAATAAATTTTATCAAGAACCAGCCAAAATTCGCTGCGTGGGTACTGCAGTTGGCACCCTTCCTCCCAGCATCCCTCGGTCAGCTGATCGACAGGGCCGCTTGGAAAATTCTCGGCTGAATAGAGATGGCAGCCAATCGGCTGTTACCTCCATTGGTTATTCTGACAGCAGCCACTGTCAGAATACCAAGGAAACAGCAGGGGATTCCTCGATCAACGCTCATAAGCACTGATGGAGGAATCTGTTCCATTTTCTTCAGCCATGGGTTGAACAAAAAAAAAATAAACCACGTATACCTGGCTTCAGGCACTGAATTACAGATAACATATTAACCACTTCAAGACCAGGTGTTTAGACCCCCTTCCTGGCCAGGCCATTTTTCAGTAAACCTATCTTGCCTGTTGGGTATGTCCTGGGTGTCAACTTAACAGAAATAGAGCTAGTGCAAATATTAAAGGAAACCGAAGAGAAAAAGTTACATTGCACTGGGTTTATTTCTGATGGACTTGGAGAGAGGTGAAAGTTTTCTCGATGGGTATGGATGAACGTACTCCATTCTGGGCCTTCATATGTGTGTGACAATATGGTAGTGTTTTATTTTAAATCTAGTTAAATCATTTTAGCTTCATTGCTAGCATTTTACAGAATTGGATAACTGTAGGTTTTTTTTTTGTCCTGGAAACCTGTAAATAATTGTTTTCCCTTTATGTCATCTGTCTACAGGTGAGGGTACTGAAGACTCTTCTAATGGAGATTCCATAATAGACTGGCTAAATTCAGTGCGACAAACTGGAAACACAACAAGGAGTGGACAACGTGGGAACCAGTCGTGGAGGGCAGTTAGCAGAACAAATCCAAATAGTGGAGATTTTCGGTTTAGTTTGGAGATCAACGTGAATCGCAGTACCATTAATCAAAATCTGCCACCTGGTGAACAGTCAGAAGGCTCTGGAGTTGAAAATATGGAACTTTCCAATCAGGGTGAACCTGAACCAGAACCTGAGGTGGAAGCTGAACCTGAAATTGTGGCAGCAGAAGAAACTCCTGTAGAGGAGCCTGCTCCTCAACGAGGTCAAAGGAGGGCAAGAAGCAGAAGCCCAGAGCAGCGAAGGATCAGGTCAAGGTATGATAGAAGCAGATCACCCTTGAATCCAGTTGTTGAAGCACCTCCTCGAAGGGCTCAGCATAATTCATCACAGACTGTTGATGCTTCTCCTGTTGAAGCAGAGGGCAGCTCCAGAACCAGACAGCTTGTGACTGCATATCTGAGCAATTCTGCGACTGAGACAGAGGGCAGCTCTAGAACTAGGCAGCATGTAACCTCTAGACAGCAGACAATAGTTGTTGATCCTCCGAACCCTAGCACTGTGGTTCCGAACTCTGAGAGCAGAAACTCCCCACAGCCCCCTCCAGCAGAGACTCCAGATAATGCAGAGGCTACAGGAACTGGTCAGAGGCCACCAACTATAGTTTTAGATCTTCAGGTCAGGCGGGTACGCCCAGGGGAATATCGTCAAAGAGACAGCATTGCAAACAGGACACGCTCTCGTTCTCAAACCCCTAATAACACGGTTACATATGAGAGTGAGAGGGGAGGTTTTCGACGCACTTTCTCAAGGTCTGAACGTGCTGGTGTCCGGACATATGTCAGTACTATCAGAATTCCAATTCGTAGAATACTGAACACTGGCCTAAGCGAGACCACCTCTGTTGCTATACAAACAATGCTGAGACAGATAATGACTGGATTTGGGGAGCTCAGTTACTTCATGTATAGTGACAACGATGCTGAGCCTGGGGCCCCTGCTGCTGGTTCTCCTCCTGTAGCAACTGGAGTGGAAACTCAAAACAGTGCAACAGCAGCTCCCAGAGCACCCCCACCTGCACCCGCACCCGTACCTGTACCTGCACCCGCACCTGTACCAGAGCCGGCAGAGCCTCCTAACCCTCAAATGGAAGCTGACAATGGAAGTAATGATGTTTCACCCTCTGGAACCAGGAGGGAGGTTCGTAATAACAGAGGATCTGTGACCTTTGAAGAAAGTGGTTCTTTGCCATTTCTCAGATTGGCCCAGTTTTTCCTCCTTAATGAGGAAGATGATGATCAGCCAAGAGGACTCACCAAAGAACAAATTGACAACCTGTCTACCCGTAATTATGGTGAAAATGATGCCCTGAAAACGTGTAGTGTGTGCATAACAGAGTACACAGAAGGGAACAAGCTACGCAAGCTTCCCTGCTCTCACGAGTACCATGTCCACTGTATTGATCGCTGGCTTTCTGAGAACTCTACATGCCCAATCTGTCGTCGCGCTGTTCTGGTATCGGGCAACAGAGAGAGTGTTGTTTAAACCAATTGCTAAAACTGTCAACTAAGCGGCTAGCATTTCTAGGCTGGGCAGTGGGGGAAAAGATGCTTTTTATGGCCACTTTTTGAGTGGTGCCTAAACTAGGGTTTTGGCTTGGAGTGAGATGTCCTTTTTTGAAATTAAGCAGATCTCCATTTCCCCCCCCTCACCAAATGTTAGAATACATGTAAAAGAAGAAGGTTCACATAGAAAAGTAAACCAGGATACTGCTTTTCTTCACAATCTGAATAACAAAAAAAAAAAAGACTCCACTTACAACCTGTGCTGGAGCAGAGGCTTCACTTTCAGTGCTGGAACGATTGATCTGAAGACCCCTTCAGCATTGAAGGGTGGCTGGACTTTGCAAACTCTTTAAAATAACACTTTTTTTTTAAATGAAATGTTTAATTTGAAAAGTAGCCTTAAATGTTGCAATCTATATATTGTCCCTGCCTCCAAACTTTTTGCCCCAGTATGCTTTGAACTTTTGACTTTTTCCACCCATAACTCTATGACCACATTGTCAGATAAGCAGATAATGATTCATATGCTCCATAGACACTAGTTGTGGTTGCCAAATCTTTTCATGACTTTATCCTAAACAAAAATATGAACCCAGTGGAAATGTACCTCCAAACACCTTTTGGTTATTTCAATGCTACAAGGATCATTTTACTCATTTTCTTTTATTCTAGGTTATGTATTTGCTGACTTTTTGAATATATTGGCTAAAAATAACATGCCATCTGCGGATGATCTCCCAGTAAGTCTGCTTACTGCACAGCTAGAGGCATTTGTATTTAAAAAAAATGTATTAACCAAGTGCACTATGATTTTTGTTATAATTTGTTAGCATGACATTCTGAAGCATAACCTCATGACAAAATCAAACCTGAAGAAAAGAATGGTACCATAATAGCACCTGTCAGTCTTTTGTGCTAAGCACTTATAAGTTATTGAGGCCTGCTCAATATGTTCTTCTGTAGTAGTTCGCACTGACAGTATTTGTAAGGTAGTGTATTATAGAGGTTTATGTTTAAGATACTAGCTACAATATTATTTTTTAACATTTTATGGTTTTTTTTTTCTTTTTCTTTTTTAAGATTAGTCAAGTAATGAGCAGATCACTTTGGTCACAGTACCCACTAAATGTTCATCTTTAAAAACGCTCAAAGGACATTAATAATTTTTAGTAGTTGGACAGCATCTTTCAGTAGAGCATTCTGGTTCCTACGTCCAGTTTAGGGTCTTCCTGCTTCAGCACGTTGTGCCTTGCTTTCTGGATGTACTTTCTGTGGCTGTGAAAAATTTTACTTGGATGAATTCATTGGATGACCGCTTCATATAACAAGCCAAATTTTTATTTTAGTATAAAAGTTCATCTGTTGATGAACACAAAATATTTTTGTTTTTTTGAATTTTCTTCCAGGTATGGAGTGGGGTGTTCCTACCTTTTGAGAGAGACGGAGGGGAGGGCGAAAAGCATTTCCTTCCAGCACTGAAGGGATGGGATAGCCACAAAGGTGTTTAAATGTCTACGTTTACCTTGGTAAATAACCTGGGATAACTTACAGTTCTATAAACTCACTTTAGGATTTGTGTAAATAGACACTCGTCAGGTTTTTCTCATTCTGTATGTTTGAAGGCCTATTTTAATGGCATACTGTAGAAATTGCTGATTTAGTTTAAATTTGGATTATTTATCTCGTTGTGAAATATAACAAATGTCTATGCTTGTTAAAATAAAAAATCACTTTGTTTAAAATGTATAGCTTTTTGTAGCTGCAGCTCCCTACTTAATCTTCGCACTGTCACTGCACAGTTAATGTGTCGCAGACAATCTGTCTGACATGACGCTTGCTCATGATTCACATATACACATAGCTGCCAGCTTATGAACTGCATTTGCAACTGTCTGACCATAAATATATAAGGGGTCTGGTTCATGTTTTAATATGTGAAATATAACATTGAGGCTGCTAACCTGAACTGGGAATAAAAGTTTTAAAAATTGAAGCATTAAACAGAACAATGCTGTTTTATTTCTGAAGTGCTAACTCTTAACACCTGTTTGACATACATGTACACATATTTCATCTGAATCCATTGTGCATTATTCAGTTCAGTGTATGCCCGTTACGTTGGGATTTGTTCCGATTTTATGTATAGTCAAGTGGTTTAACCGTTTTTTACATCTGATACATCAAGCATGTACATTATTGCTGGGAGTATGCAATGTTTAAATTGACTGCATGCAGCATTCATCAAATACTGCAAGTATTACAATAAATGGTGTTAATTTAACAAATCCAACATTATGTTTGTGCTGAATCTCAATAACGTTATAGAAAGAGTCAGAAGGTGCAGATGACATTTATTCACAAAATTTGGTGGTTTTCAGTAGTGCGGAGTATTTTTGAAACTTTGATAGACCTTTTGCTACTTACTAGACAGCTTGGAAATTTTCCTGTTCACTGTGCAGGATGTAAACTGCTTGGCTTGATGTACTTAAAGCGTATAAACCCATGAACAAGAAATGTGATGTACTACCCTTCTTCAGCTGTAGTGGCTGCATTAGGTTGTTCCCTTTATTTTAACCTGGTGGTCTTGCCAGACGCATTTCCTTTCCTAGGTTAACACTCACTCAGTGTACTGTATCTATTCAGGGGCAGCATTGTCAACCTAGGACAGAAAACCTTCCCCTCTGCTAACTGAACAGGCAGCAGAGAACATAGGATTTTCAGCTCACAAGATTTAAGTTGGGAGCAACAGGTTTTTGTCACATTAAACAGATCAAAAGGGAGTAAATAAAAGTTCATTTTAGTTCACATACACTTTAAAAAGACCATGTCACCAGATGTCATTCATTTCAACAAAAATTCTTCCCATAAGTGTATATGTGCATTTAACTTGTTTTATGCAGGTTTACCTGTAAAACACCGAAGACTGCTGCTGGGAGATGCCATCTTGGATATGTGAACATTCCCAGCAAGCTCAGCTGGTGCTTAGTTACAGTAGTTTTACCCGTCACTCCTTCAGTAGCTACATAAAAGGTTATGTAGGGAAATGGATGAAGAAGTGGAGATGCTGGGCCAGCACAGAGAAATCAGACACTCACAGAAGAGCAGACTTTGATATGCAAGAAGGGAGGGGTCTGTGCTAGGGAATTGACTAGTCCTTTTTTTTTTTTTTTCTAGCAACTTCAAAGGAGCATTGCAAGTGTATACAATTAAAATAATTTCCAGAAAGGAAAAACACTGCAAGTAAGTGTTTTAAAATGCATGATATTTCTGTTCTTTTAACCTATGAAAACAAAAAATTGTGACAGGGTCTATTAAACCGCTAACCTTCAGATATTTGTGTAGCTTGGGTCAATCTAGTGTTTTGACATCAGACTCCTAGACACCAGATGTGGTTCCCCTGATGTCCAGATTCAACAACAAGCTAGGCATGTTTGTCACCAGGTCCAGGAATCATTTGGCCTTCACGTGAATGCACTGGTGACTCCTTGGAATCAGTTAAGACTAACTTATGCCTTCTGTTACCTCATCTTCACAGGTCGAGATGGAGGGCATTCCAGTGATCCTCATTTCCCCCAACTGGCCCATGAGGCCTTGGTACCTGTACATAGTCAAATTCCCTACTGGGGAAATGCTCCATGGGTGCTCCCAAACAGGCCAGACCTTGTGTCAAAAAGTCCAGTATTCCACCCTGCTTGTTTCTTGGTCTTTTGGTTTACCAGTTGGTTCTCTGCTCTATGCATGTTAAGGCTAGGAAGTCTGCCTCCTACAAGGTCTGTCATCGCACCTGGAGTGCATACTTCACATGGTGTGAGGCCAAAAAAATCCATCCTAGGAAGTATTGCATGGGATGCATCCTTTCCTTCCTCCAGTCTTGGTTAGACCAGCATTTGGGCCTAAGCACCATTAAGGGGCAGATTTCTGCCTTTGTGATCCTCTTTCAGAGGCTACTTGCCTCTTACTAGTTGGTCAAGGCTTTTGTGTGGTTAACCTCTGTCTTGGTCCTTTTTAAAAGCCATACTTTAATTTTCGTTCTCACCCTGGAACCCTTTGTGTTCTTTAAGGGCTAATTAATCCATCTCCGGTTTCTCTAAGGCGTCACTCATAAACTAGCTGCATACACGGATTACCTGATATTCTTTATCTCACAGCCTAGCACCTCTATTACCTCTCTGCTGAAAACCTTTAGTGACGAGCGCTTTCAAATTTCAAGATCAATCCTGCTAAATCTGAGTCTCCCGACATCTCCTTGCCACCTCCTCTGCTGGAGTTCGCTAAATCGCACATTCCTTTTCGGTGGGCTCAACAGTACATTGGGTACCTGGGCACCAACATAACGGCTGACTTGGATGTGTACAAATGTAATTTTTAGCCTTTGCTTTTGAACACTAAGGACCTCCAACTTTGGCAAGATCTCACTCTGACCTGGTTTGGCCAACGTGCAGCATCAAATTCTGTACCTACTGCAAGCTATACCAATCAAGTTACCCTTAAACTTTCTCCCAATTCAGTCGGCTGTAACCTTACATATGTATGGGCAGGTAAGCGCCCACGCCTAGCATACAAGTTTTTGATCCTCCCTAAGCAGGCAGGTGGAGTGGGACTACCAGGTATTCGCATGTATTATAAGGCGGCCCATCTTAATCGAATAGTGAATTGGTTCTGTAACTCTCAGTATAAACAGTCGGTAGGCATGAGACTGATGAAGTCCAAATCCCCCTGTTGGGTTACCGTGGCTTACCTCACCATTGCCCACAGAGCTGATATCTCATCCCACTATTGCTCCCACGTGGTTGCGAGAGCCACCTAGTAGGTCTTCTGAGATCTCCTTTCCCCTCTCCACTGTCTCCAGTGATTTGGAGACCTGGATTTCCCCTCAGGTCTGAATAGTCACAACACCCTTCAATTGTTGCTGGAACGTAAATTTAGGTTGGGAGATTTTATCTCTGCTTCCTCGTGGCTGCCTATTGATTCCATTAGGAGCACGGTCTCCCCTCCATTGGATTGCTGGAGTGATTTTCAAATATGGCATTTTCTTCTCTCTGCTCCTGCGGTGTAAGGTTTGTCCAGACCGGTTACAGCATTTGTGTCTGTGTTATTCTGGTTGATCCTGTTCCCCACTCGCTATTACTGATTTTCAAACTTTTGTCTGCCCCTGAAATGACTTCTGTCCCCTGGCAGGGCATTACTTCTAGCACATAAGTCGTTCATGGCGAGCAAGTATCGGGAGCAGGGCTACAAAATTATGGCACGTTGGTATAGTGTTTCCCCCGTTCTCCATAAAATGAACAATGATATACCCTCCACGTGTTGGCATTGTAATAGGGAACTAGGTGCTATGTCATATATCTTTTGGTACTGCCTGATACGCCACTCCTTCTGATGTTCCGTTAGGGTGGTGTTTTAGGCAGTTGGGTTTGGTAGACCTGGAGGATGATCTGGCAGTCTGTCTCTTGCACATGACACATCTGTCAAGCAGTATACACGTTCACTTACGATCCATCTGCTGAATGCAGCGAGGTCATGTACTCCATTATTGTGGAAACAATCTACCTCACCGACGGAGATGTGATTTTTCTGTGGTGGATTAGATTTGTCAAATGGGAGACTTGACCTCTTCTCTGAGGAATATGGAGAAGAATATGGACATGGCAGCCTTGGAATGTCTTTAGAGCTTCTCATGCCTACTCTCAATCATCTACAGGGCATCCTCCTTCTGCTATTGCCATCCTACAGCTCCCGAGGACCTGGCAGGCTAATCGTGCGGTTTGGACCAGGTGGGCCGTTTTCCCTGGTATCAGGACCTCTTTCGTTTCTGCTCCTATCGTATACCCTCCCCTCTTTTTGTTTTTATTCTTCACCTTGCTCCCCCTTTCCCCTTCCATTTCCCTTATTACTTGGGGCTTGGTAAGGCCACCTATGTTTAATTTTAGCCTCCTATATATGTCCTCCACTGGGTTGATTTCCTGGGTGGTAAGGGCAAGGGGTATAACAATTCTTTTTTTAAATTTGTTTGGATTACAGTACTTGAAAGTACAATTTTAATCTTCATACTCAACCTGTTATACATTCAGGTGTATGAAGCTAAACCATCGTGATGGTGATTTGTTTAATGCCGGTCAATGCGAATGCATTATCCTGATGTTTTATCCTGTACATACAGTGGGATTTTACTATTCTTACAGTGCATAAGGGTTAATTTTGTGTATGTATTTGCCATGTGGTACCGTTCTTACGTTTGTATTGTACATGAAGAATGCGTTCATATGTTCTGTTGATCCATATTTATACTTATTCAATAAACTCAGAATTTAAAAAAAAAAAAGCCAAAAAAAAGCCGCACTTGGGAGATCTCGTAGCCAGCACTTGGGTGTGTTTCTTAGCAGCCTTGACATGCAAGGAACCCTTCTTGTTATCCACAAGGTAAGGTGGTTCTGATGCTGCCTTCCACCATGCACAGAACAGATGTGTTGCCATCCTTACGTCCTGCTCCAAAAACATCCTAAGAACATTTCCATCCAGTGCCTGGATGTCATCCAGTCATTCGACCTCTCCAACTTATGCTAATGTGATTTTTCATGAAAGGTAAAGGTCCACTTCAAACCGGAAATAAAGGCAAAGCAAGCGTAAGAGAAAAAAAAGTGGGGAAAAAAAGCTTTTATGGCAGAAGGAACTTACACAGTCTCTTCTGCCATAAAAAGCCTTCCATTCAGCAATTTTTTTGGGGGAAGCGTTACTTCCACTTTGAGGGGCTCTTATAACACAAGAACCGTTACGTTTTGCAACTTGTTGAGCAACTGTCTGAAGCAGTCCACTTCAATTATGATGGTCTTTCCATATGCATAGAGCACTTTGTCTACATTCCTGGCTACATCCCTTTTCAACCAATTATTGTTTCGTCATTCATTTGGGCCTCAAGGTTTCTTTCTTTTCAGGTCTGAATGCCTAGACTTCAACCTGGTTAATTTGCTTTTTCTGGATTTTCTACCACCATGTACATATTC